TATGCATGGCAAATTGTTTGTGTTTTCAGTTCTGTGTTTTGTTTTGTGGTTTTTTTTTTTTTTTGTATTTACTAATTTACTTCCCAATTAAGCCCTGGGGTTGGACAATTTCAAAAAACATTACTGAGCAGGTTTTATTTAGTGACTTAGATGAGCAGGTTTTACTCTCCTAGAAACTTGTTTTTTTTAATGTCAAGTTGTATGACCTGCTTCACGTGAGGACAAAAAAGAAAAAAAATGCTTTGTTCAAAAAAAAATAAACACTTGTTTTCTGATGAGAAAACAAATAGAGTTTAGGATTTGTGATTAGCAGGATTGCAGGTGCCATTGCACGATGCAAAGGGCAACTCAGATGCAGCAGGAACTGTCTGGCTGCTTCCACGGGCTGAGGTTACAGGATCAGCTGCAGGGCCTGGTAAGGGTTTCCTCAGGCTGCCCCTTGGGCAGGAGTAGCTACACAGGCTGTGCTGCCCTCCCGGGCACTTCTGAGCGCTCCTGTGTCTTTTCTAGTGCTTGATGCAGGTTTTTGTACCAATGTTGAATTTGGTCACAACCACAAGAAGGTAGAGACTGTTTTTCATTCCTACAGGAATATTATCTAGTGGGAGGAAAAAAAGTGAAATCCATATTTGAAGCACCAAAGAAAACATTAGCTTGCTCCACTTGCTGACACTGCTGTTTTCTGTAATTTCCAGTTTAAGAGTATGGAGTACTTTAGCTGTCTGAGACTGAATACTGGCTTGTGGATATGAGTAGATGGAAAAAGAAATAGTGCCTGGTAGTCAGCTGCCAATGGCTGGGGAATCATCGATGGGGTATTGCTAGTTAACATGAGCGTAAAGGCTAGAAGTCTGTCTTCTACTCGTATCAGGAGCTGTCACCTTCATTTTAGATGCCTTCAAAACAGGGCTTGTGTGGGGAAATAATCCCTCATTTGGAAAAGAAAGATGAAATATGCATCTACAAGCAATTCTAATTACAACTCTCAAGTTGATGGATTTGTCATCTCATGCAGTGTAGAGACAGCAGGCTATTAACTGAGTCCCTGTGTTCTTCTATGACCTTATGAATATTATTCTGGATAACCCTTAGCATACTCCCTGCATTACAGGTTCAGTGACCTTGCTAGAAAATAGGCTTGTATGTGTCTTTCACCTATAGGCAAGTACAGAGTTAATGCTCCTTTCCTTTGGGGGAGGTCACCATTTCTTCCTGACATTTCACTGTGACCATTTTTGCTTGCTTGCATTTCAGCAGTCTGTGCTGTTCTGATGCACCATGTCAGAAAAATGCAGTAATTGTATTGAAGTAGACTTTGAAGAACACTATTGATTATTTATGGAGACATGCTATTTTAATCAAGCAAATTCATTTGAACTGTCATGGGGATTCAGTGTAATAATGTGCTTATGCGTCATGCTGGGTAGGACGTTTGGCTTTCTAGATGGATGCAGAGAACTTGGAGGCCATCGTATCAGCTAGCTGGCCTAGAAGTTTGGTGGCAGCTGTGGTTTAGTGTCACGAGTAACTCTGCAAGAGACTCAAAAGCATTCATGACAAGCTATTTTCAAGCTTGATTTAGATAAATCAAAAGAAAAAAGTGTCTAATATAAACCCTGGAAAACTGGAGCATTTCCTCTACGCTTTGCACCCAAAGGGATGGGGAGCTGCACGTGCAGCAGTAGCTGGGAACGTGCAGCTGCTGACAAGGAGGTCAGCAGCGCGCGGGGAGCCCCGTGCCTGCTGCAGGCGTCCAGCCCCGGGCGTGGGTGGTTTCGCTGTCCTGCTTTCACAGCACTTCTAGGTAGTTATTAACTTTTCCAGCCACATGCTCTGAAAGCCAGAGTGCAGCTTGGCTGAGTTGGTGCAAGAGGCTGGCAGGGCTATGGGGAGAGTCCCCTGATGACCCAGCCTTTTCTGAAGGGTTTTTACCCTTGTGTGAGCGTGCAGCAGTCTGCAGCTTGCATTCAGCTGTGCTGGCATCGTCTTGTGCGGTTAGGTAAGAGCTGAGGGCGCTTTCGATGCTATGAGTCACTCTGGCTTGCGGCGAGCTGAATCTTCTGTATTACGTCAAAAGAAAAAACAAAAGAAAAGGTTAGGTAGGTATACCACAAAAGGTGCCTCAAGAATTAGCCTTTAAATTATCTGTATTTGGATATAGCATGGATGTAACAGCTATCCCTCAGGATATCTGGCAACTTGTGTGTCACGCTTGTAATTCATGTTGTTGAACTCGGAGCTATGGGTCCTCATGCAGCATTGCACTGCGGCCTGATGCAAGGGGCCCTGCTCGCCTGTGCTGCGGGAGGAGAGCGCTGAGCGACCTCCTTCCTCTGGGCACCCCCGGCACAGCGCGGGAGCTGGAAACGACTGACTGGGTGGAAAAGACCCCAAACTCAGGCCTGGAGCGGCCCTGGTGCTGCTTCTTGGTAAGACTGACCTTGGGAACGGGCAGAGCTTTCCAGTGCAGGCGGCGGGGCTGGGACGTGACCTGCACTCCAGCAGGCTGCCCATTCAGTAGAGCAGGATCAATATTCCCCAAATGCCACGGTGGCAGCAGGCGCTCTGCAGCGCTGCAGCCCCTTACGTAGTAGTGTTCTGAATGCCCCATGCGTGGGTGCGTTCCGCTCGGCCTTTGAGCGCGCCCCATTCCGGCGTGTTTGCCTGCAGGACGGATTGCGGTGGCAGCTCCTATTTAGCGTTGCTCAACAGGGACCCTTGCTCCTCCTAATCAGCTGTGACACAGCAGTGTTAGTTTGTTGACAGACTAAAGTGTATCTAAAAGTAAATCTTTCCACTTTGTTTATAATGTCTGAACTAAGCATTTTAAGACATCCGCTCTTGCAGTTAAGGTTTAAACCTGTTTAAACTTTTTTCTGCACCCATTTGCTAACTTGAGGCGAGTGTTATCGTCTCTCTCTCTGATGTTGTCATCTTTCCTTTTATGTGGCAACTTCTATTTATGCAGCAACACCATTAATGAATGCAGCCCACACACAAGAGTGCTTGTTCCGGAGAATTTTTAATATATTTTACCTATTGCTCCCTGTTGAGTCTAATTTTATTTTTCCTTGGTTTTCCCTTCTGTTATTCCATCTGTTTGGCTTAACTGCGTCACACTCTCCTAATGTTTTGTGTTTGCTAATCCTTGATTCTTCTTTCCTCTGCAACTCGGTTTCCTTTAGTGCTGAGGCTGACATACATTTCATTAAGAGTTTCCAGGAAAAGCTTTGATTTTGAGCAACTGAGACTGTTAAAATCCTTCCTTCTCTCTCTGTCTTAAATTTATTTTTATTACTGCTTGCTCATGCCTCTGTGGTGCTACTGGCATTTTGGAAAAATGCTGTAACAGGCCTGGTTTCTTGCTTTGCAGAACCTCTGCTTCTTTCTGTTGTTCCCAAGTTTCCAAGGCTGTAAAGGTGATTCTGCAAGTAAAATGAATCAAGTAAGGTGAGACAGGCAGAGCTCAGTCCTGCAAAATGTGCACGTATTCTTAATTTCATATACTGGGAGTCCCCTTGTGTTACTGGGAGATCATCGTTTGTTGCTTGAAACCCAGGAAATCACCCTGGGAAATGGCCAGTTCACAGATCAAACAATTCCTAAGACTAACCATAATAGATGCAATGAGAAATCCAGTGATTCATAGCATTTTTGGGAGAATTTTCTCACTAGCATTTAGAAATAATTTTTTAAATTTTGAACTTTTGAGTCATGTTGAATTATCATTAATCAGAGATTGAGATCAAAATCTTGGTAAGATTTAGTTTTCTGAGCCCGTGCAGATTTTGTTAAATGTATGCACGTATAAATAAGACAAATAAGAAATGCCTAAGCTTTTTTTATTCTCAAAAGCTGGAAAGAAGCAGGATAGGTCTCTTTGCATGAGCAAGTAAGTGTTAGAGCAAGAAGGAACACTGTTGGGAAGCAAACTTTCTGTCAACATTGTTGGATGTGCTGCCATAAACAGAAGCCAGTTCAAAGGACCTGGGAATCCCAGAGAGTTCCTTTCAAGGCCAAGCAGCTTCCTGCTGCACTGTCACTGCTAGGAAAGGGCCTCTTGCCTTCAAGAGCTGCTGGCTGTTTAAAAAGAAGGGTGGGAGGGACAAGAAAACCCCAATATTCCTTCGAGGGAACCATTTTCCATCAGCAAATGGACATCTGTTAAAACAGTGTGCTTCAGATTCTGTGTACTATTGTGATCCTGTCTTGCAAGGAGGGAAGGAGATGTTTTTACTAGCAGTGCTACTTATTCAAGTGCTTTCAAGATAAATATATTTATTTTCAACTCTTACAACTGTATATTTGAGTTTTGAAGTTTCTATAAATATCTGTTGATCTGCAGTATGTCACGCTGATCTTTGTCAAGCAGTTGTTTAAAAATACTTTTATGCAAAGTTATTCCAGGTGTTCCTTCTTATTTGATACACTGTTCCATTCTCTGTGTAGTTGTACTGTTTTTTTTTCAAAATCTTTACTTTCTCTAATAAGAATTTGAATTTAAGTAAGTTAGCATAAGGGTTGCTCTTTACTGAAACTCTTTTTAAACTTACATTTAATGGGGAGGGGGAAGTAACTTTTTCAGCACATTATCAGATTTTCTTCCTTTCTGGAGGTTATTTACCAAGTCGCTTTTCAGACCCCCTAGATAATAATTATTGACCAAAATTGTTTTGCGTTGGGGTGAGATTTTTGTTAAAGACACATTGATCATGTCATGAAATGGATGTAAACCCTGCATTAGCATTACAAAACAAACAAACAAACAAAAAAAACAACAAAAAAACACTTTTATGGGAGAAGGCAAATCCTTCATTTAGTTGAAGGTTCCTGTGTTGTAGGAATCTAGTAAGTGTTGTCAGTCAAGACAACTGCTTGATGCTGCTTGAATCACCTCGTGTGCTTGCCTTAAGAAATAACTTTACACTGTCAAAATAATATTTGAATTTATTTTGATGCTTCTGCATCTGAAATATATTCACTTGTGTTGTTCACAGGAAGAATCACACACAGAGATGAAACCATGAAGAGCGAGCAGAAGGAATAATAATGCTTTTCCGAAACCGCTTTCTGTTCTTGCTGGCCTTGGCAGCCCTACTAGCCTTCCTGAGCCTCAGTCTGCAATTCTGTAAGTGTGTCCTCTTGTGTGCTCTCTTTATGGTGGTATGAAAGTATGGTTAGAGATTGTCGTTCTTGCCCTCTTCTTGTTTAAGTATTCAATTTGTGTTTAAATATTCATAACTCTTGCAATAATAGAAAAATAAATGTAGAAAGTGTTGTATGCCATGTAGAAATCTACAGTCTCGAGTGTTCTCGGAGAAGACCGTTTTCTGAAGAAGTTGTCGTTTTGTAGTGAAAGTGTAATTAAGAAACTGAATGTGGTCGAGTCCTCCAATGAATCTAAACAAAAATGTTTGCATAAAACCTACAGCTATTCCTGGGTTATATTGCATCAAACTAAATAGGACTGAGAAAAGCCGGAGAGAGGGAGGAATATTGGAAGTTGCCTTTGTTTGTGCCCTTGCATTAGGACACTTTAAGCAGTTAAATTGGCTCATAACAAGCGACTGCCTTGATTAAGAAAAGGTAAGTTACATCCTACTTGAGATCAATTAATCATGGGTAAGCCCGGAGGACTGTCACTTGCTGAGGAGTAGGAAAGGGGTAATGCTGAAGGTGTGTTTGCTTATGTTGACAAATAAGTGTTGTGCAAATTGCTCTTTACCACCCAGTTTATGAATAATAATATTTGTTAAAGTGGTGGTGTGTGCAAACCTAATACATGTCAATGTGATTAAGTGCTGATAGAAGGCAAAGAAAAATACATTAATGAAGTACAAGTCAACATTTTTTTTATGTTGCATCATGTATTTTACTGTGGTTTTTCGTGTGTGTGTATATATATATATATATAGCATATATAGTTTTGGTAGAATGTTATTTTCCGGTATGGTCTAAAAAACAGTATTATTTTGCAGTTAAAAAGTGCTTTGTATATATTGAACAGTTTTGTTTTTGTTTGTTTCTTCTCGTTTTTAATTTTGTGTTTAAACTTAAAACTTCGTGTTTAAACTCATCTGTGTGTGGCAGAGACCTGTAGCTCCAACTCGCTTGATCTGGCTTCCTATGGGCCCATGCCAGGTCCACCTGATTGCAGCTTGCTTTGCTCTTTGCGGATCTGCGCTGGTGTTAAGGGCTTGGTTATGAATGGAGCACAGGGTGGAAGTGCTAAAGGGACCTCAGCTGGAATACAAAGCTCATAAAAATGAGCTTTCTTTTTTAAACAAAAAAAAAAAAAAAAAAAAAAAAAAAGGGAAAAAAAAAAAAACACCTGTCTTCACAAATGCAAGTTAATTTCCCACTTACTTAAAGTGCCATCTCTGCAGGAGAAGAGATCTCTCTGGGAGAGGAAGAAGTTTGAGGAGGTGCTTTGAAAAATGCTTTGGCTGCAGCAAGTAGCCATCATGGAGCTCAGCGTCAATATTAGTGAAATGTGTGTGGGGATTTTTATGTAACGAGAACTGCAGTACATGCCAGCAGGAACGGAGTGGTTTAAAATGTACAGATAAGCTGTTTTTCAACCTCTACCAGTCTCAGCTTGGAGAGCTATTAGTTCAAAATCAGAACAAAGTCTGTCTGCCAAACACAGGCAATATCTGCTGCAGTCTCCATATAGAACTGTTAGGGGAGCAGCCTGGAGTCTGCAAGGCTGAGCTGGAGTCCAAGAAATCAAGCCAAAGTCCTAAAACTGAAAACAATTCCTTAAATATTGAAAATGGTGTTTCAGCATCTTTCTTCGGTCCTTGTTGCGAAGCTGTTACCCGCAGACACTGGCACAGCTCAGGCTCGTCTGCTGTGCTGTCCATTTGGTCCTCACTGTTGCACAAAACAGTAGTAATTTAACCTCTTATTTCATATATAAAGCCTTTTCATGAAAGTGTTATGTGCTTGTTTGGTCCTTCAACAGATCATAAAACTGGTTTCCAAATTTTAATCTTTATTTTTTATTTTATTTTATTTTTTTTTTTAGAAAAGGAGGTGCCTCCTGGGACTTTTGGAGTGAAGAAGGATGTTTTATGCTCTTGTGAAACTATGAATCTCTTAGCTAGCAGCACCCAGCTTTGGGGAGGAGAGCTGGTCATTGTAAAACGTTCTGCTGCTTTTCTCAGCACGACGTGTTAGAAACATCTCTTCCTTTCTGTGCTAAATGTGTTTAGAGAAGTGAAGGAGTACATAAGTACATAATTATACAGATTATATGTCCTGTTCTTAAAATACCCCACGAGGGCAGAGCGTCACTCCAGTGGATGCCTGAGCTTTTCTCCTGCCCGTGCGTTCCAGTGTAGCAGTTTGAGGCCAGCCCTGAGAGAGTTGTAGCTGATCCTGGGGCGAAGGGAGCAGCACAGGCAGAGTATGGGGAGCTTTTCCATAGATTCTGATTTAATAGTAGGAAACGGCTCATGCCAGCATGACTGATGAGATTACAGGGTCTGTCCTGTGCTTGAACTGTGAGGGTGCAGGAACTGCCTGCAGCACTTTCCAGCCCGGTGTTTCAAATTAAGCGGAAACTGGTGCTGGTTTATGTTAATAGGTCATGCTGGGAAGGGTCTGGATCTGCTTTAGGAGCAGGGATTTCTGCAACCGTGGCCACTTGGAGCTGATGGGTGTCTAAGTGTTTGCAGTCTCCATGCAAGTTCTTTCCTTGTAAGACAGAGTCTCAAGGAAACCAAGTTAACTATTGCCACATCTGATGTTTTGAAACGAGGAAGAGAAACCCTGGGGAAGAACAGCCAGTACTGGACGCCAGAGGCCTCCCTGTCCAGATCTGCCTTTGTAGACTGGGGACAGACTCAGAACTGATGGATTACTTAGCTCCCGTGTTTGATGTGTGTCTTGGTCCCTTTGAATGTGAAGCACGAGCTCAGGTGCAGAGGGGAACTGGAAACCCTGCAGGGTGGGAAATGGTTCCCCAGCAAGGACTGAGAGCAGGAGAGCCCTGCTGCGAAGGAGAGCAGAGGAAGGGAAGGTTGCCATTGCTGTGGGTCTCCGTTTCCATCTCTCTCGGGGCTGTTAATGGAAATAATTCCCAAGTCCTCTGTTAATAAGAATTTATGCCCTCAGGTAGGAGCTAAAGGCCCAGGATGTGTGTACAGGCTTCACATATGGAGCAGATTCAAAGCTTATGTGCCTGAGGGGTGTGCTTGCTTCCTGGCTCGGTAGTTTGCTTTGTTGTCAAGCTATGGGTATTTATTCCCATAGGTATTTCTTGTGTGATCAATAGCTTATAAAAATATTCTAAAAAATATTTTCCCAGTACTGTCTACAACTTCTAGCAAGTGCATAGAAGGCATCTTTTTAAAAAATATATCACATTCAGTTCTAAGCATCTAGCTTTTGAGCAAAGAACTAGAAGCCAGATGTATTTTCAGACCACTGCGGTGAGAGTTTAGGCTTGGGGACCGCCTTGGATAGGGTGTTTGGTTGGCTTCCAAATGAAATGCAAGTGACAGCTTAAAGTTTTATAGGTAATTGCCATTGCTTGCCTATTATTTTGTGTTTGAGTTCAGATTTGTGTGAAAGATTGAAGAAATACGTTCCTTGGGGAATTTATTGCTGCACAAACTCTTTTTTTTTTTTCGCCCATTTATGTAAATAGTCATGATTCTAAAACAAATTAAAGTGCCTACTCAGTACTAGAGACAAAAGGAAAACTGTTTGTGATGGACTTTTGTAAAAACAAACACATGCATACACACTATTGTAAAAAAGGAATTATGTTGTTTTTTAAAGTGGTATGCTTTGTCAAAAATATAACTGCAGAATGGAAGGAATGACCTGTCCCAGATTGTGAACTGTATTTTGTCTCTGTGATAATTTCTGTAATGCTCTGGAGTAATGCTAGGTATTTTACTTGTTCAGAAACAAATGAGAGCAAATGCAAGTTGTCCTGTGTTACTCTTTTTGCCAGAAGAAGAGGGTGCGGTGGTTGAGGCTGCCCTTCCTCTCCTGTGCTTGCAGCAGCAGGAGGTGGTGAATGCACTGGCTGGGGAATCCTCATGGGACAGAAGGGGTGGGTGGCAGCACGGTTACGTTCCAGTTGAATGCAAGGGGGAGGTCACAGTTGGCTGTGGCTCACCTGGGTGGTCCAGCAGCCTCAGATTGGAGGTAGGATGTGATTTAGGGCCCTATCAGTGTTCATTATGTTGGTTAAGCCTGAGGTGAGGAACAGGAGATGGAAGTGTTCCTCAGGAGCTGCATCCCCTCTGGAGACTACTGCAGCACCAAGAACCCAGCTGTGGGGCCTGTGCCCACCAGCTGCCTATGGCAGTGTCTGTCGCTCACTGTGGCAGCTGAGGGTGCTTAAACTACCTCTTTTGGATCTTACCCTGAACAAAAAAAACAGAGAGGAAATTAAAAGCTAACCATTAATGCCTATGGCTTTTTATTTTTTAGATGCTTTATTTTTTCATATGCTTGTAAATACTCTTTTTTCCCTCAACAAGGTTGAGTCAATATCTTCCCTCTCCGCCTCCCACCCCGTTTTCATTTACTGAAAGACTGAAGAAAGAGCCAGTCAGCAGAAGATGACTAAAGGTACAATGGGAAAACATCTCTTTCTATTAGCTATTTATCCCTGTGGCAGGCATACATTATATACTTCCCTTTTGATTCTGTTTCAGGCACTTGCAGAATACTTTATTCCCTGGCTCTCAGGCATGTATAGATCTTGCATCTACAGACTGTCTTCTTATTTTGAAGACTGTTTGCTTAAATATTTTGAGACTTTGATCAGTGCTTCAAGCCTGTCTTTCCATAAATAGAGTTTTGGTTTTTTGCCACTGATTTTTAGGGTGCTCTGGTATGTTTATTGGCAGAGGACTGGTTCTCTGTAATGTGAGAGAATTCTTTCTTTTTAGAGTACTTGGCCTTGATGCTCCAGACTTGATGCTTTAGCACCTTGACATAGGGCATTTTGTTTTTTCAGTAAATTTAATTTCACTGTGCATTATGTTATCTTGTTTTTGCCACTGAAAGCTTTGGTCTCACAGATGAGGTCATGCAAAACAAATCAAGATTTTCCCCAAGGAAAAGTATTAGAGATTATGTGGAGGGTTTGTTTGTTTGTTT